ATTTTTTCGTTAAAGTTTTCTTTATAAAAAGTATATCAATCTGATTGGATGAACTTGTTTGAAGGATTGCGGCTTAGGACCCGGTCCTGGGATCGATCAACTAACGGTTTTTTGTATCAGGTCTGGGACCGTTGTTTCAGGTCCTAGGACCGGACCGGACCGGATTCGCAATTTAACATCCCTACCGCTATTGTTTCCAAGTACCCCAGCAATATGGCAAAAACGAGGTATAATCTTCGAATTAAGTGAAAATTACGAAACAGCTCAAAATTTTGCTTATGAAATCACTTTCTGCGTCATAATTAAAAATTTTTTTTTGTGAAATTTGGACTATAGCATAGATCTCTTCTAATTATATACCGACACCATTTCTTTTATTTATGTGTTGTTTTCTTCGATGTTGGATTTTTTAGGTATCAGAGTCATATGACCAGGCATATTTCCTAAAAATATATGATTATTGTCGGTGAAATGATTATCCTATCGTTATTCTATTAAGTATTTAATTATCGGATCATGTACAATTTAATTCTAATCCCAAATTCAAGATGGGTTACTACTTAAATATCCTTGATTCTTTTAACACAAGTAACTTGCTCGGATGCGTGATCATCGTGTTAATTGGATATTTTTTTTACAAGTTTAATATCTATCCCTTGCACTTGTCGCCATTATGTAAAATTCCCGGCCCCCCTGTAAACAATTTCTTTTATGGGAATGTGAGAATTTTCGAGGATAGCGATGTAAATTCTTCTCATCCTTATTTCTGTATTTACTGTTATCAATTTAATTTTTTTTTCTAATATATATCTATTCAACTTATAGTTAGGAGATAAATTAGTTCGTTGGGATAAACAATATGGCTCTCTCTTTAGAGTTCATGCTTTTTTAAATCGTACATTCATTATTACAACCGATCCTAAAACAGTCCAAAACATTATGACTACTCATGCATATGATTATAGAAAAAGTAGACAACTACCTCAGTTAACGGATACCATAGGCGAAGGATTATTACTTGCTGAAGGAGATGTTCATCATAGGCAAAGGAGAATGATGAATCCTGCATTTTCTTTTGCTCATACAAAGGTATTTATTTCGCTTTTATTAATAAGGATAGATGTCTCATAAACGTTAAAATTATATAAATTCAGCTATAAACTAAGCTCTACTCAATTTGCAAAAATCGCATAGTTTATATAAAAAGACTTACGTAAAATTTAGTACTAGACAATTTACTTAAGTGAAATATAGAATTGTTATGATATAGCCCCTTTTTTTTTTTTAGTTGTGCAGAACGTTTTTTTTACTAACCGAAAAATTAAACTAACCTTAATTGGTTTTTCTTAATAAGGTTAGTAAAAAACTTGTTCTATTTTAGTAAAAAAAAGTTCTACATAACTAAAGGAAAAAAAAAAATTCTAACGTTTAGCCCATTATCCAACTTTGTCGACACAAATGATCTACGTGCAATTTCAATCTCAAAAATCTTCGTTTTTCATGAAATTCTATACAAACTATGCGATTTTTATTCTACCATTTTCGATACCATATATTGGGGATATATAACTATGTGAACACACTGATTATTGTTATGAAATTTTAACAACTAATATTTATTTGAAATCTAAAGGAAATTATTCCAATAATTGTTCGAATCTCTCATCAATTAAAAGAAATCATGATGAATCAAATTGATGATAAAAAAGATAAAAGAATTACAATTAGTCCATTTATATCTAAAGCGACTTTGGACATCATAGGCTTAGTTGGTACTGTAATAATCATTGATCCTAATAATTTTTTATTTAAGATATCTTTCTAATCTTTTATTTTATTTTATGTATATAAAAATAGGGTTTGATTATGATTTAAGTTCACTTACATCTCAATCAGAATTAACAGCAGCGTATGATGAAATAACAAGTACTAATAAAACATATTTGGATGTTTTGATTATCTTGTTATCTGGATACTTTCCTTTTGTTAGAAAGATTCCAATTAATAGTAATGTTCGATTCATGAATGCTATTAAAACGGTTGGAAGAATATCAGAAAATTTAGTTAAAGAAAGAAAAAATAAAATTGCAGAAGGTGAACTTAAAGGCAATGATTTATTAACACTAATAATAAAAATGAATGAGGATTTACCTAAAGATGAAAAAATGACAGACGTTGAAATAAAATATCAGGTAATGTATTTTCAAGAATAATAATTAATTAATGCAGTAATATACATAATATATGTACACTGAAAAAATAATTTACTTATTGATTTTTAGATTATGACATTTCTTGCTGCTGGACATCATACTACAAGTCAATCATTATCTTGGTCATTATATTTACTCGCCAAACATCCCGAAATTCAAGATCATCTTCGTAAGGAATTGGTTGAAGCATTTCCTGATCCCAATTGTCAACCCACTTTCGATGAAATTGAACATTTAAAATATTTGGATTGCGTTATCAAAGAAACTTTGAGATTCATCCCACCTGGTATAAATAATTACATAATGTTTATTACATATTTTTAAATTAATATTTTATATTCTAACATTAATCTGTGAATTAAAGTGTCTTTACTTTCTCGATTAACCACCAAAGATGAAATGGTAAACGGATATTTTATTCCAAAGGTATATTTTTTCACAAAGAGTTTAGAATCGGTTTTATTTAGTCACGTTTAAAAACAATTACTAATTACCAATATTAAAACAAATCTGAAATTTTAGGGATCTATGTTTGGAATCTCAATCCACACTATTCATCGCAAAACTTCGATATGGGGTGAAGATGCAAACGAATTTAACCCATCTCGATGGTTTGATCCAGAAATAAAATCAAAAGTTACCAATTACACATATTTACCTTTTAATACAGGTCAAAGAAGTTGTATTGGAATAAAATTAGC